CAAAGGGAAGCGGTGCGTTGGGGGAGAGAAGCGCCCCTGGCTGGCCAGGGAAGGTGCCGCCCAGCCCGCGCCGGCCTGCACCCTGGAGGACGACGCCATGGCCGCCTCCCCCACCTGCAGGGCCCTGGGGCCTGTCTCTCGCGTTGCTTCTGAGCCCCTGCAGGTGTTCAGGGTGCCGTGTCTGGAGCCAGGCGTGGCCCTGCTCTGCCGCCTGCTTCCTCGTAAGGCGGAGAAGCCCAGCGGTGGGAGGCGTGTCAGCCAGCGGCCTCCTTCCGCTTCAAGCTGCAGTTTTCAGGAGTCTGTGCTGGTGTGAAGTGAGAATTTAAGTTACCCACGACACCGCCAGAAGCGCCGGTCGGTCAGCACCGCCGGCGTGGTCAGCGCTGCCCGTGCGCGGTGGACGCTGCCGGGGCAGTTCAGGCCTCTTCAGGTCAGCGCGCCGCATTGTTAATGGTGCTTGAAAGAGAAAGTGACGTTCCGCTGCAGGTAGAAACGCTAGTTCCGAGAGAGAGCTGAGCTGCAGGACGTACCAACAAAACCCCCTTCAGTGGGTAAGCTAGAAAAAACGTAGAAGTTTTAATGAAAACTGTATCGGTTGGTTTGGAGCTGTGGAGCGGGGAGAGCAGAGCCCCAGCTGTGGGTGGAATGTGCTCCCCACTCACGTCGAAGTCACCCAGTGTGAATGGGCCCAGGGTGGTTCAGGTGAAACGTGGCCCTCAGGCTGGCCTCGTCCTGGGGTCAGCACCCCCTGAGAAGGGGCCAGACCGCGCCTCACTGGCCCCCACCCTCAGTCCTTTGTCTCATTCACCAAATTCTCGTGACGCCGCCATCCGCCCTGCGTGGAGCCTGGAGTGCGCTCCATGGGGCCAGGTGCCTGTGGCTGGCACTAGACCCCTGGGCCTGGCCAGCGCCTGTCGCCCCGGCCCCCCTGGCTGCTCCCTGCTGCGTCTGCTCGCCTTGTGTGCTGCGTGGCCCTGGGCGCCCGTCCCTGCAGTCCACGGGGGCCACCCTTAAGCCGAAAGACAGGTCTCCCGCCTGTGTCTCAGGTGCCATGGACACTAGGACTGGCTGCTGCCCCTGGGGCAGTGGCCCGTCTGCTGACGCTGCTGCCTGGAGCCTCGTCCTGGACACACCTGCCTGCCTCCCTCCCTATGGCCGCTTTCTCTCCAGGGTGGCTCAGGACGCTCCAGGCAGGTGGGCTGCTTGCTTTGCTCCAGCAGGTGGCCCCGCAGCGTGGGCGGTGGGTGACAGGCATGTGCATCGCCCCTGGGACGGGACTGCAGCACCACCAACCGCTTGTCACCCGGCTGGTGAGATGCTGGGGTTGGCTTCATCCTGGTCTGGGCGAAGAGTCAACCCGCCAGGCCCCCCTCCCCCGTCCAGAAACCGCATCAGTGATCAGTGGGTGTTTTCTGCTGCAGTGGTGCGTTCAGAAAAGGATGCACTGAATCAAGGACTTCTGCCAGGGCTTAATTATAAGTTTCTGGGGTCCGAGCTCTTTCTGTTCTGAGGCGAGAAGATGGCTGTGGTTCTCATTTCTGCGTGGCCCCAGGGCCTTTGCTTGTGCTTGAGTTTGGCGTGCCCGAGCAGAAGAGAGTCATTTCTCCCGCTCTCCTGGTGCGGGTCCCGGCGCCTGGGTCATGCCTCTGCCCCAGGAGTCAGTGTGCCTGACCCAGCAGGGTCGGGGGAGGGACAGCTCGTGCTGCTCCTGTTCCCTGCTGGGGTCGGCGCTGAACGTGGGGTGTCGCGAGCAGGGAGCCTTCTCTGGGCTGTTTGTGACGCCATTTGGTCTTGGCCTCCTGTGCCCTGCCCCCTGCCCTGCCCTCCCAGGACCTGGCTTAGCTGCCGCCCCGGCAGGCGGACGGGGGCGCTCTAGAGGGACTCTGGTCTCCAGTTTGCAGCTTCAGTTAGTTTCCTTCCACTTCTGAGCATCGATTAAAAACTTCACCTGTCAAGCCTGACACAGGTTTCTCCAATTAATTGGCGCAACTGCTAGCTGCTCGGTGATGCAGTTAAGAACAAACAGTTCACGGTGGGCTCGTCAGCGGGCCCAGGAAAGGGTGCTGTGAAGAGGATCGCCCGCCCGCCGCCGGAGCGAGGGCCCGCCTTCCCGCCCTGCTGCTCGCCAGCCCCCGGCCTTCCCGGGGACGGGAGAGGAAGCGTCCCTGGTGCCCACCTGTCCCTGCCGGCGGTGACGCTCCGGGAGCAGCTCAGAGGGGCCCGCTGCGCGCTCGGAGAGCAGGCGGGGGCGGGCGGGTGGGGGCGAGGGGCTCTGGTGGCTGCGACGTGGCCGGCGTTGAGGCTCTGGAAGGTTCCAAGAGGAGTTGGAGGGAGGAGGAGAGAACGCCCAACGGCTGGAGACCAGGTCTAGTCCTGGGAAAGCGGTTTCTCGGGCGCCGGAGTCCGCGGTGGTCGGGTGGGCGGACGGCAGAGCGCGGGCAGCTTCTCCGGCCGGAGCGGGGCGGGCGCCTTTGTCCCTGGCTCTTCCCGTCAAGCCGTGACTGGCGTGTGGCCCTGTGCAGGGCTCCCCAGGGGGAGCTGTGCGCCTTACAACCCCGGGGAGCCCCGCACCCCCTGTGCGCCCCCAGACCCGAGTCCTTCACCACGTGGTGCGCCCCTCACGCGTTTCCTCTTCCTCCCGTGGCCCCGGTTCAAAGCTTGTGTGGGCAGCTGCTCCTTGCCTGTTCTCGGGCCAGGGCAGGGACGCACCCTGGGGGGCAGCTTAGCGGCTCCGGGGCGGCTGCGGCCACTTGCCCCGCCCGCGTCAGCTCCCAGCCCCACGGCCCTCGCGGGGTGGGGCCGCCCCATCCACCGGCTCAGCCGCTAGACGTGGACGTGCGGGTCCTCCTGGCGTGAGCCCTTGTCGGGGCTGTGGACCAGCTCATGACGTTGGGTTTATGACGAATGGACGGCGGCCACATGCAGATGAGGAGGCAGGAGCTGTGACCTCTGAGGCCGCAGACAGGAAGACGAGTGAAGTCGCTCGTTTTCGTCTGAGGAGAAACGCAGGCTCTTCCTCGGGTCAGCGTGTGAGGATGGAGCTGCCGCCTCTGCCGGCCGCTGGGGGCCGCCCGGGCCCGCGCTGGGCAGCACCCAGCTGTGCGTTTCTGAAAGCGATGGAAACTTGCAGCGGTGCTGGGCTTGGGTGAGAAAACCCAGAGCTGTTTCATTCAGCGCTGTTTACATTTTTGAAAGGATCCGTGGCCGTTGAAGTGGTTTCTTCCAACCAAGTTAATGAAGTCGCCTGGTGCAGGGGGAAAATGGTTCTCGGAATGTAAAATTTTTTTTTAAAGATTTATTTATGCATCCAAGAATTGGGGTGCAGGCCAGAGGTGCAGGGGTGGTAGTGAGAGGATTCACCAGAGACAGAGCAGGGAGCAGAACAGGCAGACTGACTGAAGTGCACTGCTGAGGGGAGCAGCGGGGAGGCAGGAGAGGTCTGCTGCGCCCTGTGGGTAGCTCCCTGGCAGGGAATCGAACACCTGGGATCGAACTCGTGCTGCAGAGGCTGCTGACAGCTTCACAGCACAGTGCTTAACCCCTTGTGCCACCAGGGAGACCCCGGAATGTTAATTTTTGATGTCACTGGGAATGCAGGTCGTAAGGGACAGGGTCATAAGTGACGTATCTCTGGAAACCCGCCTTGGTTCCCGCATGTGTGTTGATGGGGTGCTTGGGTGAGGGCGCCCTGCTGAGGTGCCGGTGTGGGGGCCTCTCCTGAGGAGGTGCCATCACTGGGTGGACACCCCAAGCCTAGGGCCCCCGCAGAACTGGCTGGCTGGGCCCACAGCGTCTGTAGACAGGCCCTGCCCGCCCGCAGCCACGAGGGCTCCGGAGTGGGGCAGGAGCGGCTTTTGCTGCTGTTCAGCTGCAGCTGGCAAGGGCCCCATGGTGCAGACCTCCGGGGCTGTCACGAGTGCTCAGATGTGCGAGTGTGGGTGTGGGGTGGTGCTGGGGGCCCGCTGTGGGGCCTTGGGCCTAGGCCTGGCCTCTTGTGCATGGTACCGGCCTGTGGCTTTGCTGTCGTGCCCATGGCACGCTGGCTCTGACCGCAGGCTGGGCGCCGGCCGCTGACCTGCCGTGTCTGGGCCTGGAGGAAGCTGTTGGTCCCACCTCAAACCTCAGAAGTTGTTCAGTGAAAGAAGTTTTACCCCCTTAGGTCTTGGAGTTTGAGAACTTTTCCGGAGAAACCACTCCATTTCACTGCCGCGTGACTTGCTGTCTTTCTGGACCTCTTAAAACTGTCTGGGCTGCTTGCAGCGAGGAGGAGCTTCCCCTTTTCAGTGGTGATGCAGGCTAGACGTGGCGTCAGGCCAGCGGGGCCTGGGGCTGCAGGCAGCAGGGCGAGGACGTCGTTCTGCGCGGGGCCCCGTGCTGTCAGCAGGAGCTGGAGGCTGCAGCCTGGATCCTGACCCCCACGGAGCACGGCCTCCTGCACACGGCGGGCGCCTTGCCGCAGGTGGTGTGGGGCAGAGGGGCAGCGCGCCTGGCCTCCGTGTGGGCTGGTGCTGGGGCGGCCCACGCTGGGCTCTCGTCCCTCGCTGCTGCTGAGTCTGTGACTCCGTCCTGGGCCGGAGCACCCCCTGTGATGACCTGGGCCTCCTGGCTCTGCACGTGTTGCTTCCAGGCCTCCCATGTCCCCCGCGCGGGGTCCAGGGGCTGCCGCGGCCCTGGGTCCTGCTGCCGCATCGGCTGGAGCGCCTGGTTATCTTTTTTGGATGCGTTCTCGGTTTCTCAGTGTAAAGTCTCCAAAGTGATTCTCCTGGAAAAGCCTTTAAAGGCCTCTTGAGAATTTGGCGATTTGACGTGTTGTCCCAGAAGGACGGAACTGCGCGGCGCCCAGGTGCTGGCTATGTCGGTCAACCCCTTCAGCCCCTGTGTCTCCCTGCGCCGCAGGCGAGGAAGGCAGCGCGCGGCCTTTGGGCGCGCAGCACTCACGTCCCAGGCACGCGGCTTGGCGTCTTGGGGTGACGCTCCCTCTGTGCTTTCTCTGGCCCCAGGCTCCACGAGGAGATTATCGACTTCTACAACTTCATGTCCCCGCGCCCCGAGGAGGCGGCCATGCGCAGGGAGGTGGTGGCACGCATCGAGACTGTGGTCAAGGACCTGTGGCCCACGGCTGAGGTGGGTGTGCCCTGGGAGCGGTCACGGCCACTGCCTCTGGGTGGTCGGCTGGGGTCCTGGGGTTCCTCTGCACTGCGCCCCCAACGCCCTGCTCAGCACCCGCAGGATCCTGGGCCTGAGGGGAGGGTCTTGGATCCATGGGATTATTTTTCCTGCTTCAAAGTCACTTTGAGGTGAGGGTTTTACGCCGCCCCACCCCCTGGGAGAGGCCAAGCCGCTTCTCCAGCCATTCACGGCCAGGAGAGCCCTGCGAGGTGCCCTGCTCTTCCCAGAGCCACGTAGCCCCAAGCGCAGCGCTGTTGGTGTGACCTTCAGTGTTGGGGCCAGGCCCCTGCCCCGGCTTGGCTGCTGGCCCCGCACTCCAGAGGGGGAACGCCATGAGCAGTGTGGGCGAGGCCCATAGTCATCCCTCCTGGGTCTGGGGTCTTCCCTGGGGCAGGTCTTCACGTGGAGGAGTCAGAGGGTGTGGTTGGGTGGACTGGGTGGGCTGTCCTGCGGGGGGCGGCGGGAGGGAGCCTCCTTGGAGAGTGGGAGGCCGGTGCCCGGATGTCACGTTTCAGATGCTGCTCTTCTAGGTGCAGATCTTTGGCAGCTTCAGCACAGGCCTCTACCTTCCTACCAGGTGAGTGCAGGCTGGTGCGGGGGTGGGGGTACCTGTAGTGAGTGGGTTCCTAGGTGGTGTCTAAGGTGCGAGGGAGGAGCTGCAGGAGATGACTGGGGGTGCAGGCAGGTGGCAGGAAGCAGGTTTTAGTTGGTGTGGTGGTCACGTCCTTTGCATGTGCCTGTCGGGTGTGTTTGTTGATGCCAGGATGCAGAGAGGACGGTCAGGCGGGGGCGTGGAAGTGTGCTACTCTTCTGGGTGTGTCTTTTTTTAAAAAGAGAATTTAGTCGAAGAACAGGGGTGTAGGCTAGAGGTGCAGGGGTGAGAGGATTCACCAGAGACAGAGGGGGGAGCAGAACAGGCGGATCCACTGAAACACACTGCTGAGGGGAGCAGCGGGGAGACAGGAGGGGTCTGCTGCGCCCTGTGGGTAGCTCCCTGGCTGGAGATTGGACTCAGGCCGTAGTGCTGACAGCCCGAGACTCAACCCCTAGGCCACCAGCGAGGCCCCTGCTGTGCTTTTTAAAGTCATGTTTTGTTTTATTAAAGATTCAAGCAAAACTATTTAAAAACCAGTAAGGATTTTTATTTTGTAAAAGAGGTCACACAAGTTTTTGTTCTAAGGTCACTTTCCAGTGTTGCGTTTTTAATGGCTCAACATGCAAAGCAATTTTCAGTGTCTTGCTTTGTTAAAAGTTGATTTTCTGTTAACCCTCTGTTAGCCTTTGGGGACTGCAGAGGCTGTACTCCCTGCATCTGGGGTGGCTTTGGCAGGGCGGGTGGGGATTGGGCAGTTTGGAGCTGAGCTGGATCCGGGGGCAGCAGGTGTGCCTGCAGGACAGATGTGAGCACGGACAACCCTGCCCCTGGTGGCCTGGGCCCACTGGTAGCTCCTCTGCCTCCCTCGGAGTCCCAACAGTCACACGCAGGCGGTTTCCTCCCTGGGAGGGCTGAGCTCACGGGTGACGTAGGCCCTTTGGCAGAGACACACGCCTCACCTTCTCCCCCTTCTCGCCAGCGACATCGACTTAGTGGTCTTTGGAAAGTGGGAGCGCCCTCCCCTGCAGCTGCTGGAGCAGGCCCTGCGGAAGCACAATGTGGCCGAGCCATGCTCCATCAAAGTCCTGGACAAAGCGACCGTGAGTGTGGGGCCGGCCGCCACGAGTGCACACGCAGATAGGGGCGCACGCAGGCTCACGCGGGCACGCACCACACCTGCGGGCGCACAGTGACCTCAGTCTTGCTCCCGGCAGTTGGCACCGGCAGTTTTGGAGCCGCCTCGTCTCTGGTGTAAACCTGCTTGTGTTGTTGATTCCATTTTTGTCTTTAAAATCGGGGTCACCCGCTGAGGATATGTCTAAGCACAGCCCATGCAGGTCGTCCGTGTGTTCCTGGCCCTGAGACGCCACACGTGCCTCCCACGCACCACTGTGTCCCTGTGGGATGAGGAGGCGCTCCCTGGGGGCAACACTGCCCCTCCCCCCACCTGCCAGGCACTGCCGCAGCCCAAGGCAGCATTTGCCAAGTTCCACTTGAGAAAGAAAGTTCCTTTCAGTGTTCAGAAAACGCACGTCCACGGAAAGTCCTCTTGTTTCAGGTGGAGCTGGGGGCACGCCCACTCTGGCTTTGCCCAGATCTGTGTGGCAGGCTCTGAGCCCAGGGACTGCGAGGGGCTGGCTGGCCACGTGACCTCAGTAGTGTCTCCTTCCCATCGACAGCTCCACCTTGTAGGAAAACAGTCCGACCCTCTTAGCTCACACAAGAGCGGCAGAAGTTCAGGGGCCTTTTCTTGCTTATACAGTGAGGTCCGCCCCCCCCCCCCCCGAGGCTCCTCCTGGCCTCTCCCTGCAGTCACTGTTCCTTCCCACTCTGCCAGGGAGGCCCGGGAGGTAATTGGGCCTCCAGGTGCAGCAGCCAGCCTTCCCTGAGCTGGGGTGGTGCCAGGCGCTCCGCCGCGGGTGTCCGCCCTGGAGCCACATCAGGCGTCTGGCAAAGCGGCTCTGGCCTGGACTCTGCCAAGTGCTTCGGACCTTGCGCCCCACCCAGCGGCTTGGGTGACAGGGGCCTCTGTTCCTCAGAGGCCGAAGGAAGTGAAAGCTTGTCCCCAGGAGAGCCCGCCTCGGGCGCAGGAGGGTTGGTGGCGGGCGGGATGGCGGCCTGGGTGTTTTATGAGGCCAGTTTTGAGCACTGTTTGGTGATAGTTCTTTCTAAGAATATTTTCATAGTAACTTTCAGTACCCGATTTTCTGTGAAAAGATTTTTTAGTTACGTTAGAGTGGAAACCCAAGCTAGAATTGTTTGTCGAAATCACATCGGCACAAACTGCAATTTCAAAATAGCTCTGGATGTTCTCAGAAATCCTGGGGCGCATCCGTGTCCAGTGAGCCGGCCCTTCTCCACCCGTAGACCCTGGGCTCTCGGGCTTCAGGTCTTCTCGGGACAGGCGGCGGGGGCTCCAGACCAGGGAGGGCGGCCTGCAGCGTCCCCTTCCGCCGCCCCTTCAAAGCCAGGTCCTGCTCCTGCAGCAGGGAGCCCTCCTCACAGCTTGGGGGGCATTTTGCTGCCTGATGGTGGAGGGTGACGCGTACCAAGGCCCGTTGTTTAACATTCGATCGCGGCAGGTGCCCATCATCAAGCTCACAGACCAGGAGACGGAGGTGAAGGTGGACATCAGCTTCAACATGGAGACGGGCGTGCGGGCGGCGGAGCTCATCAAGAGCTACATGAAGGTGCGGGGCTGCGAGTGCGGGCGGCCGGCTGGGCCGGCCGGTTGCTTCCTCCTGGGCGCGGGCGAGGGTGGCCCTGCCGCTGCGGCTGTGCGGGTCAGGGACTTAGCCGCGGTATTATGTCTGGGGAAACTTGGAGAGGATTCTGCAGATTTGCTTTCCTTTCACACGGCTGAGCGTCATTTAGGTAGCTTGTCAGCGTCCCCACTGTCGCAGACGACGGGTTTGCAGCCACTGTGGCTGACCCGCAGGCTCCGGGGCCCACGGGAGCCAGGTCTCACTCGCTTGGCGGTGCCGGGGCGGGCTGCTAGGTGACCGCTTGTGGGGCTGACGGGTGTGCTCGCTCTGCTCCTGGGCCTTAGTGGAGGCTGCCTCTCGGGGCTAGCAGGGCCTCGCTCCTCACTTCCGCTCCCTCTGCAGCATCAGCTGAACCTGAAGACCAGAGGGCAACCCCCCCCATCTTCTGCCCTTCCCGGGGCCTTCACTGCTCCCCTCCTGGCCCCCACCCCCGGCCCCTTGAGTGCTGGACCTTCCTGCTTCCCCGCTGCTCGCACACCCGGCTCCTCTGCACGGCTGCTGTGCCCTGGGCTCCTCTCGCCCCTGCTCAGTTGCTCCTGGGGAGCCCCCACATGATTCATTCTCCACCACGTGGTGTGTGAGGGCGAATGGCTGGAGCCTGTCTCGGGGCTGGGTTGAGCCCGTGCTGTGACGTGCGCGGGGAGGAGGGCTTCACGGCCCGCGTCCTCATCAGTCTGTTTCTCTTCCGGTGGTGGCAGAAATACTCCTTGCTGCCGTACTTGATTTTAGTGCTGAAGCAGTTCCTCCTGCAGCGGGACCTGAACGAAGTTTTCACAGGCGGGATCAGCTCCTACAGCCTGATTTTAATGGCCATCAGCTTTCTGCAGGTGAGCGCTGGTCTCGTGCGCCTCCGGGCGGGGCCCTGCTTCCTGCCCTGTGGCCTGTGCTGGTCAGGGCGCTGTCCCAGCCCTGTGCCGGCCCTCGTGCTCCTTTGCTCTGGTTTACCTGTCAGCAGCTCACCTGCCCTGGTCCGTCCGACCTGGGAAACTCTACACACTGAGAAAACGTGGAAACGTTTATTTCAGGAAAACAAAATTGGGTGCTGTGCATGGTAAAGATAGTGAAAAGGAGGGACCTTCCCTGATGAGGTGGCATCAGTATTTTGTTTCATGCACACGTCCCCCTGGTGCTGAGCCGTGGAGAAGGCGCACAGTAGACAGCCCCTGGCAGACAGCCCGTCAGTGCCACCAGCCTGGCCGGTAAGAGGCCGGGCTCCTGCGGTGCCTCCCGGGCGGTGATCTGGACTAGGCCAGGGCTCAGGACAGTCAGGTGAGGCTCCGGCTCACCTGTCCTCAGATGCTGCGGCCTTTGGGACCCAGCACCCAAGCAGGCCTCAGGGGAGCTCCGGCTGCAGACATTCTGGCCATCGTGCTCTGTCATGCAACACGGTCATTTTCTGCCCAGTCCTGTGGGACGGCCGGGCTGCCTCCCCTGCTGGCTCGAGCGCTAGCATTTCCACACCCCTCTGTCGGAGGAGCAGCCCGACTGCTGGCGGTGGCGGTGGGCAGCGTGGGGCTGCCTGGCCGAGTCTCTCCAATCAGGGAGATGCGGGGAGGCAGTGGCTTAGGCTCAGGTGTGGCGCTGAGGGAGGTGATGCTGCATGACGAGCAGGGAGGTTTGCTGTCATGTCAGGACGCTGTGTACACTCGTGGACGACCCTGTCACACCTTGGCTTTACAACGTCCTGCTGCGCTTCTGTCCAGCCTCATACTGCCCCCTGCTGGTTGTCGTTGGGAAGCACGGACTTATGTTTGCACCTGAATTGTATCCACCTCCTGGATGTCTCTGAGTTGTACAGAATGTGGCCCATTTATCAGTGTCATCCCACAGATTTGGAAATTTGCCGTTGATCAGGTGTCTGCCTGTAGGAAGTTGTATAAATTAAAATTTCAGAGAGTTGAAATAGATTCAGAATCCAGGTCAGAAGATTTCCTTTCTGGTGGCCAGGCTCGCTGGTGTGCACGCCCGTGGGTGTTGCCTTGAGGAGCCGGGGGTGGGTGCGCTTGGAAACTGGCTCCAGCCCGACGCCTGTGGGTGCCTTGCTCTTACAGCTGCACCCAAGAATCGATGCCCGGAGAGCAGATGAAAACCTTGGAATGCTGCTTGTAGAATTTTTTGAACTCTATGGAAGAAATTTTAATTACTTAAAGACTGGTATTAGAATAAAAGAAGGAGGTGCCTATATCGCCAAAGAGGAGATCATGAAGGCCATGACCAGCGGGTACCGGCCGTCCATGCTGTGCATCGAGGACCCCCTGCTGCCGGGTAAGGCCCCACCCCACAGGGGCTGCCAGCTCAGAGCCCCTGGTGCTCGCAGAGAACTAGGTCCAGCCGCCACTCTGTCCACGGGTGTAGTCAACCAGGAAACGCAGAGTGAGAATTTCAAAAAATTCATCTTTTTCTGATTCAAGCCATTTGTATCTGAGAAGTCAGCCTGCAAGGTAGAAAGCGAGGTGGTCCCGGCCCCCCACACCCCCGGACTTGGAGCCTGCAGTGTTTTCCGCGTGGACAGTAACAGCGTCACTGAGTCTTCCTGACGAAGTGACGTCACGTCGGAAACGGGTTTGCAGCTTGTGTTTGTGCTGAGCCGCCCACGCAGATGCCTTTCCTGCGTGGGGTTGGCTCCGTCTCGGAGTGGCCGTGGGGGGCAGGTCTGCAGTGCGCCCCGCCTTTCCTGAGGGTGCGCAGAGCATGTGCCTTCCGTGCAGTCTCAAGTCTGAGAAAACCACACAGGACCAGTTTTCACGTAACTACTGTCCTTCAGTGGTCGGCGAGAGCAGACACGCCACTTGTCAGGCCCACTGGCCTTTACGAGCCGCTGTCAGTGACACATTCCAAACGTTGTTGATACGGGCAGGGACACGCTGGCGACAGGCGGGTGTGAGGCCTGCTCAGGTCGCTGGCCTGCTGGGCGCGGTCTGGTCACAGCTGCCATTTGGCTCCATTGTGGTTTGTGCCACCCAGGAGCTGCCTGGGCCTCCCGGGCTGTCACTTGCCCCGCGAGTCTCAGAGTTCCTGGGCCGAGGCCCTGCACTTGCTGCAATCAGCTTGGGCCCTGTGGGTAGGCTCTGGGGGCTTCGGGGTCTGGTCAGAGTCGCGTGTGTGAGCGCAGAAGCCCTGGGGCTGCAGTCTGACCGTTGTCTCCTCTCAGGAAACGACGTTGGCCGCAGCTCCTATGGGGCCATGCAGGTGAAGCAGGTTTTCGACTACGCCTACATCGTCCTCAGCCATGCCGTGTCGCCTCTGGCCAGGTCCTACCCGAACAGAGACTCTGAAAGGTAACAGCAGCGGTCACGTCCTGGGCCGCCCTCGCCTCTGGGCCCGCGCGGCTCCGGGCGTCTGTGGTTTCCTGGCGCGAATGGCTGTGCTGTGCTTGCACTGAGCACGCCGGGGGCATACCTTCCAGGCTCGGGCGGCCGCGTCTCACTCACATGGCCGGGCGCTGGAAGGGTCTCCTTTGTGGCATTGACATCCTCTTCAGTGTCTTGGTTTGGGGGTTTTGGAATGTGGGAGCTTGGTGCTTTTCTTCCGGGGCTCTCCATCCGCGACGCCTCAGCTCTCGGGCACGTCTGCGCTCCTGCTCAGCTGCGCCCCTCCGTCAGGAGCACTGATTTCTGAGTGGGGTCTGGGGGGGGCGTGAACAGAAGAGGAACATGACAGTCACCAGTGGTGCTGGGCGGGCCTCAGCCCTCAAAAGTGATGGGTGCTCTGAGCTCTGCAAGTGGTAGTGGGACTGAAACTAGGCGACTCCCGGGGTGCCCAGAGACCCCAGACTTTTGAGGGAAAAACCCATTATGGCCTTTCCAGGGCTTGGCCGTCCTCACGCACGACGGCAGGGCAAGCAGACTGGATGTGAAAGGTCAAAGGGCATGGAGAAGAAAGGATTTCAAGCGACAGCTATGAAAATTACCCATCCTCTCGGGGGCAGGCACCCCGCTAAACGCTAGGCCCAAAGCACAGCAACTGAGGCCGAAAACACCAGAACGAGTCCAAGCGCCGAGGGGCAGGGGGCGCTAGAACAGCCTCAGCAGGTCCCAGCACTGGACAGGAGGCACCAGGTGCAGGAAGCCAGGCAGCGGCTGCCGGGGCCCGGGAGCAGCCCAGCGCGCCTCTCTCCCACATGCCCTTCTTTCTCCCCTGTTCCAGCCCCTGCACCCCTACTCTTAGCTCTTTCCTCCTCACCAGCTGCCCCCACTCGGGGACTAGGGCCTCCTGTGAGTGACGGGGTTACAGTCCCAGGCGGTGGCACGTGATGGTGGGGGGAGGAGGGTGCCTCCTCCCGGCGCGCCAGCTGCGCCCCTCTGGGTGCGTCTGTAACAGAACTTCCCGTGGGGTCTGTCCACTCGGTGTTGGCAGCAGAGCTCGGGCCCCGCCTTGGGGTGTCAGTCTCACGCCTGCAGCCGGAGGCAGGAGTGTTGCCCTGTGATCGCGGGGGCGGGGCTGCCCGCGGGGCTCCTGCAGCTCTGTCTCAGCCCGAGGACTGCACAGGCGGACCCGCTTTGCTGTGCTGTGACCCTGATGTGCTTTAGGGATCGCACATCACAAGTCATAGATCTACGTAGTATTGTCGTCCTACCACCTTGTGCTCAGCAGAGCGAGCCGCGGGAGGCCGTCGTGTGGGCCATGGGGACTCGGGGGGCAAGCGCGGCACACCGCCTCGGGCCAGGCTGACCCGCCCCGTCCCCCTGCAGCACGCTGGGGAGAATCATCAAGGTCACGCAGGAGGTGATTGACTACCGGCGCTGGATCAAGGAGAAGTGGGGTGGCAAGACCCCCCCGGGCCCCGACCTCGGTGAGGAGTCCGCTTTCTGACACCCGGGTGCGGGGTTGCAGCCCCGTGGGCAGCTTGTTCCCATGGAGACGACGTGCTCGGGGGTTAGCGTGTCATGGCAAAGGACGAGGCGGAGGCGCTGTCGGAGGAGGTGGGGCGCGGGCGCACAGGGGAGCGTGAGCTTGAGTGGCTGCCTCACGGGTGGGAGAAGAGATGAGTGACATTAACTTAAAAAATTCTAGCCAAGCTCTTCTAGTCAGCCTGTTGCCCCAAATACTAACACAGCACCTGGCGCACGGCCGCGGTGGTGGGTGAGTGTCTGCAGCTGTGTCGTTCTGTCTGGAAGGCCGGCGTGTCACGCTGGCAGCAGCGGGGCTGCGGCTGGCCGCTGGAAGGACTGGCTCTGTATTTAGAGCGCGGCAGCCTCATGTCTGGACACGATTTACGTGCCGACCTCTTCCAGAGAGCCCTTAGGGGCTGGCGCCGGGTCTGTCTCGCTGGCAGCGCCCTAAGGCTCGGCATCTCCGCCCGCCAGGACGGCCTCTCCCGCTGCTCCGTGTGCCTGGGGAGCCTGACTCGTGGGCTCTGCCGTCCTCCACAGACCACAGGGTCAAGACGAGAGAACGAATCAGCCCCTGCGAGGGGGACCAGACCCAGCGCGGAGACCCCAGCTCGCCCTCCAGCCAGCGCCTGGTGCCGTCTCTGCCCAGCCCCCAGCTGCTCTCGTCCGGCTCGTCCGCGTCCTCTGTGTCCTCTCTCTCTGGCAGTGACATCGTGAGTGGGGCTGCCTGTCCCTGTGCCGCCTGAGTGTGGGCCCCGGGGGGTGGACACTCCCTCCCACCAACAGGGACACCACCGTGTTGGTGCCGCTCTGCCTCCAGCACTGGAGCCGGCAGGGCCCGGTCGGCAGCCTCGTGGCCCTGGGCGGTGGTGGCGGTCTCGGGAGGGTCCGGTGGGCCTCCTTGTGGAGGCGTTCAGAGCCTTCCTTTGAGTTCACCTAAGTCCAGCTGTGTTGCCCGTGTCCCCGAGAGCATCCCCTTCAGGAGAGGAGGTCTGAGGACCAGGTGGCCTGGGGCTTCCTGTCTCGGCCGCTCCCGGAGGGCCCCCTCGCTGCCACCCGGGAGTGCACCTTGTGCCCAGCCCACTGCGTGTCTCCCCAGGACTCAGACACGCCACCCTGCAGCGCGCCCAGCGTCTACCAGTTCAGTCTCCAAGCCCCGGCCCCCCTGCTCGCCAGCCTGCCGGCCGCCCTACCCATGCCCAGCGGCAAACCTCAGGCCGCCACGTCCAGAACGCTGGTCATGACAACCAACACGCAGGTAGGCGAGGCCGGGAGAGCCGAGTCTCTGTGACGGCGGCCTCTGCCGCTGCTCTGTCTCGCGGGAAGTTCCCGTTTTCGAAGGTCAGCAGGTGCATCTCCTGTGGTTCGTGAAGGACAGGCTGTCACCCAGCCCCCAGGGCCCTGTGCTCCCCGGAGCCGGGACTCCTGCTCCTGAGTGCCGGCTGACTTGTGGGGCTGAGGCGTCCACTTGGGCCGCTGGGCTGCTCTGTGGCCTCTGAGCGTGTGCCTCTTTGCTGCTTTTTAATTTTGACAGAATTAGAGGTGAAAAGAATTTCGAGAACACTGGCTTTTGTGTCTTTGCCAGTTAGATACGTTCAGGGCTAAAACCCGTTACGTTTGGTAGCCTTTAAAATAAGGTAAAGCCACTCCACGGCAGGGTCATCACAGAGGTTGGTGCCTGGACATGGTGACCACTCCGCTGTGACCTCTGCTGCCTGGGGTTGTCTTCCTGGGACCCTGGGCCTGGGGGAGCTGAGTGACACTTGGAGGCCCCTCCACCGACGCCCAGTCCTTGGCTCCCGTGGGCGCTGGGCTCGGTCTCCGGGGCTGCCGCGGCTGTGCTGCCTGGCACGGAGGCTGAAGCGTTTACGACAAGGCTAGAGCCCACTTTGCCTCTGGAGTTCAGATGCTGTTCCAGTGACCTCTGCCCTGGAAACCAGGCTGGGTCTCCCTGGGGCCGGGAGGCGCCGCGCTGAGGAAGTGGGGGCCTGGCACGGGGGCGGGAAGCTGGCAGAGTCCCTGGATCGCGTCCTGTGATCCAGGCCCTGGGCCGTGAGGCCTCCACCGAGGAGAAGCCCTGACCAGGGACCCCCCCACCTTGCTCGGTGAGAGTTAGGGAGGGCTGCCGCCTCCCCCGCGGCCCCCACAGGGCCCTGGCAGCACCGACCCGCACCAGGGATCTTTGGGACAAAAGCGAGCACTTCTGGGCCGCCCGGGGAGGGGGCTTCCCGCAGCCCCTGGGCGCCACCTGGCCGCTCTCCAGTACATGTTGGGGATGGGGCTGTGCCCAGGCTCCTTCCAGGGTCTGAGGAGGGGGATGCCCTCCTGGGGGTGCTGCCCGGTCTCCTGTGAACGTTGGCTCCCCAGGAGGGCAGCGCCGGCTTCTTCACGGGGCGGTCGCAGTTTCTGAATAGCAAGCATCTTGCCCACGATGCCAGGTCCCGGCCAGCACAGGTGCCCCGAGCCTGCCTGCGTCGGGGGCTCGGACCAGGCGACCGGGGTCTCCTCGTCGTCGGTGCTAATGCAGCCTCTGGTCCTGTTGCTCCTAGACCAGGTTCACTCTTGCTGCACCGGCCCTCGGGGTGGCCCCCGTCCCTGGCAGGCAAGTGAGCGTGGAGGGGCCGCCAGCGCTGAAGGCCATCCACCACCTGTCTGCCCCCGCCGTCGCGCCCGCTTCCCCCAACCCGCTCTCCAGCCCTCACCTGTATCACAAGGTAGGTTTCCACGGTCGCCCCACCTGTGCCCCAGGTGCCCCGGCCCCGCCCCCATCCGAGTGCCCTCCTGCAGGCGGGTGCTCGGGTTTTCTCCGCCCAAGAGAATTCAGATTTATTTAACGGGAATTTGTCTTCTGATCGCTCAGCTTCTTGTTTGCTCTTCTGACAGACCAGACTCTGAAAATGTTAAGAAAATATTTTAAAATAGAATGTAGTTTAATTCCCCGAGTCTCCACAGGCAGAGCTTGTTAGCCTAGAAGTGGAGGAGACGGTCTTTACCTGTTAAATTAATTCACGGGCAAAGTGCAGCTTTCAAGAATTGAGCAGGAGGCCCTGCTCTCAGGGGCAGCCTGGCCCGTCGGCGGCGCTCGGGAGGGCGGGACTGTGCGGAGGGGAGCCTTGCTCTGGGCTGGGCCTCTGCTGTGCGACCCCGGCGAGGGCGTCCTGGCCCACTCTGCACGCGGGGCCTCCCCGCCGGGGCTATGCTTCCGGAGTGTCGGAGTTTAAGGTGGGGAAGAGGTTGAGGGGGACCCCTTCTGTGCGCACACAGCCGCTTAGAAGTGAGGTCCTCAGCCCACCTGGCCGTGAAGGTGTGTGGCAGGTAGAGGTCCTATTCTCACCTCGAGGGGGTCGCTGAAACAAGGGGTCTCTGTCCTCATCAGCTGTGCAGTTCCGGCCCTGACACGCGTGGCCTGCAGGGTCAGCCTGTGCCAGTTGCGTCCACGGTCGCCCCCCTCTCTCCAGTCCAGGGAGGCTGCCTGCGGGGGTCTTGGGGTCTCTTCTGGCACTGGTGGGCCTGGGCAGCAGGGCCGGGGCCGGCTCCTGCCGCCTCCAACTTGGCCCGCCCTGTCTCAGCAGCACAGTGGCATGAAGCTGTCCGTGAAAGGTGCCCACAGCCACGGCCAGGGTGGCGGCTACGGCTCGGTGGGCAGCGGCGGAGTGCGGCCACCCGTGGGCAACCGCGGCCACCACCAGTACAGCCGCACCGGCTGGAGGAGGAAGAAACACACGCACACGCGGGACAGCCTGCCCGTCAGCCTCAGCAGATGACGGCGCCCCAGACCAGCCCCGCACGCCCGCTGGCCCCTGCATGTCCCCGTGTGGTGTCGCCCGCCACAGCGGCCCTGGCCCCGGAGCCTCGTCCCGCGGGCCCTCCTGGGCGCCGGCTCCACTGCCCTGGGCGGCGTGTCCATTCCACGGAGTCGGCGCTGGCCGGCCGCCGGGCCAGGGCCGTTCTGTTACTGCCCTCGCGTTTCCTTTCAGACTTCCAAGCTGTTTTCTATGTAAATATTGAAAACTTATGATTTGTGCAATAACTCAGATATTTTTTATTTAATTTCATATTTTCACATAAGTTATATTTAAGGGATGAGGGAATTTTTTTAAACCGCTTATAGATCCTTTCCCAAGTTGCATTTTCTAAGTTGGGTTCATCGTGTCAGCCGGTGGTCTGACGAGCACCGTGACGGACGCCACGAGTGAGGGTTTGAGTTTTACTCTTGCGTTGTTTCTTTTGGTCAGACGGAGGGCGAGGCTTTGCGGCCGCGGGGCGGAGCGGCCACCCCGGCTCCGCCATCTGCTCTGACGCGGGGTTTCAGTCTATCGGTTCTTTTAAACTCGACCACAAATCCAGCATTTCAAGTGCCAGAAGCATCACTTTCTAAGGGGAGAAGAGGTCGCGTCCTACACCCTTACCCAAGGTGAACTCGGAAGCGCCTCGGTGGGTCTCGTGACCCCGCCTGTGATGACGGGTCTGCTGAATTCGTCACCGACCATGGTACCCAGTTTTAGGAATGTGGAGAAAGGAATTCCGTTGATTCCGTGGAGGAATCTCTAGCAGTATGCAGTCGTTCTGTTAAGAGCAAACCTCGGGCCGCCCGGCGCCCCCGAGCGGGTCTGCTGTGCGAAGCGCGCTCCGTCGGGCGCCGCGGCCGCGTTGCTGTCTCGGGCGAGGCTCCGCGTCCTGCCCCGCGGGCTCCGGCGCAGCTGCCTCCCGTCCCGCTCCCGCGACAGCCCCTCGGGGTGGACGTGCCGCGGGCCGAGGCGGAGGGGACGCCGCGCCTGCCGGTGCGGGGGGCCGTCCCCGCGGGGGCGTCGCGAGGAGAGCAGCACGTCGTCCGCGGTTCCCGAGGATGGAGCGTTATCAAAAATATTTAAAAATATTTAAATTGTGAACCTATTGTTAAAGAAATATTTATAAAAACCGAGTGTAGGCCTGTACCAATCTCCATGTATTCGCGGTCTGGACTGTCCCCCACGAGGACGCTGCTGGGCCGGCCAGTGTCCCCGCGGAGCGAATGAATTGGCCCGGCCGCCTGCCCGCCACGGCGTCACAAGGCATCATGTCTCTATTTCGTGTGTGTGTGAACGGTAATTAGAAGCTAAAATTGACATATTTTTATGTAAAGTTTTTCTATCCTTTGATTTTTAATAAACTTTGGAAAACAGGTGTTTTCTCAAGCGTTGTTGATTTGCCGACTGATCCTTTCATAGCTAGGATCGGGCCGCAGCCTCACGCCCGCACCGAGGCGTCTCTTCTCAGGTGAGCGTCCCGCGGAGGTAGCACATCCTAAACCACCCTCTGCCTCCGCGCGGGGCGGGGGCGGGGGCTGGAGGCCAGCTCTGGGGTGGCGGTCCCTGAGGTCTGGGTGAGGGCTGGGGGCGGCTGGGGTGAGTGGGCGGTAGAGCTGGCCGGGCCGCATGGCTGCGGCGCTGAGGGGCGGTGACCCTGCTCCCGGGCCCTCCCCCGCCGGGACTGGCCCTTAGTCCTGTGTCTCAGCCCCCCACCCCCGCCCATTGCCACCAGCCTGGAGGCCCCGTCTCTGGTCCTGCAGAGCGCCTGCCCCTGTGCTGCCTCGGCTCCTCTTCTGGACCGGCGGCCACACCTGCTGTCTGCAGCCCAGGCCCAGGCTGCGGGCGCCACCATCTCCCTCGGCACAGAGACCGACGCCAGGACGCTCGGGCCGCGTCGGTCCGTGGCCCGCGGCCCGCAGCCCGCTGATCTGTCGCCTGCCCTGGCCACAACAGCATCCGTGCTGCTGCCACGTGGCCGGCCGCCCCACAAGCACATCGGGCTGGGCCTTCCCTGAGGCCTCCCCTAGGCCTCTGGGGGTGTTCCCCAGGGCTCCCCTACCTCCTGCCTTCCCCACTATTAGCCGCTGCTTCCGTGGGGCTCTTCTCCATCAGCCTTCCTGGAATATCCTGCCTGTCCTTGGCATCTGGGTTCTCCAAATCCTCCTCCTCAGCAGCCAGACCCTCCACCCTCTGTCCTGCTGCTGGCCCCCCTTGTCCGGTGCCACCTGCACCTCCAGTCTCCTCCCCAGCTCCGTCCATAGGGCGCCCAGCGGCTCCTGAAGCCATGACCACAGTCCTGTCTCCCCTTAAGCCCCTGGGGTCTCCTTGGTGTGTGTGTCCCCTAATTCCTGGCATTGTGGCTGTCACACCTCTGCCCATGTCATCTGCCCGGCCAGATTTTACAGAGTGCAGGAGACACCCTCCATGATTTGGGGGATGAGGAAGGCGGCTGGCAGGCCACACCTCCGCTGCAGAACCATCAGTGCCATGTGCCTGGCGCCTGCGGTCCCTGAGCCCCCGAGCTGGTTACGGTGTGCCCGGAGGCACGCCTGGTGGGGGGGGGGGTGAGGCTGGTCGGCTTCAGTCCCACGTCTGCCCCTGTGCAGCTCAAGGGCCAGTTGCTGCCCTTAGGCGGGGCCCTGGTGTTGCCCACACGAGGTTAGCTCTGGGCTCGGCCCAGACCTCTAAGGGACAGCAGTGACACGGGTCTGTGGGCTCTGGGGGGGGGCGGGTAGGGGGGGGTCTGAGCGCAGGTGCCTTCCTTGGTTCTGCCAGGCGCAGTGCCCCCAAGGGACGAGAGGGGGCGCTCTCGCCTCACCTCCGCTGGTCTCCGCCTTCAGTCAGGGGCAGAGGGAGGCTTGAAGGAGGCTCCCTGCGGGCGGGTCCAGGCCCCAAGGGAGGCCGGGAATTCATATTCGGAAGGAGCCACGCTTGGGTTTATTGAAAGGGCCAGGGAACGCGGCGGCTGTGACTTTCTTCTGTGGAAAGATCTGTCAAATTCTGACAGTGACGACGAGGGTGATGTGGAGACCGACTAGGACACGGTCTGGGCGTCCCTGGGCCCTGATGGGTCCCCCAACAGCTGGCATCGCGCTCACTGCCACCTCCTGTGGAGGCTGCAGGTGTAAGGCGACCGGCCTAGACCCTTCGGGAAGCAGGGCCTCCCCTCCGGGGACCCAGCCACCACCCCCCCGGGCTGCCCGGCGCCCTGCTTGTTCCTCAGACCCAGGTGTCCCCAGACCCCAGGGCTTTGCATGAGGCAAGTGGGGTTCCCAGCCTCCTCATACCCCTGCCTGCTTCCCTGTCCCCTCAGGACCAAGGTGGGGCACGCAGTTGCACCCATGCCCCTGCTCTTGGGAACACTGCTGCAGCCTTTCCTTAGGGTGCTCCCCCGGCCCGCCGGCTGCAGAGAGAGGACATCGCGTGTGATACGCGTAACAAAGGGCCTGCCGGCCCACCTTGGTGCTAATGGGGAGGCTTCCAGGCTGCAGCAGGCGGAGTTGAAGTTACAGGAAGATTTTCCAGTCTGTGGGTCGGTGCGAGACCAAGCGGTTTCCTGTCTCCTGGGGGAGGGGCCACCCTGGGGCTCACTCCCACCCTGGGGGCCCCTCCTGCCTGGCTCCGCCTCGGGGCTGGCGCTTGTAGCTCCAAGCCCTGCTTGCCAGCTCGAGCGCGCGGGGCGGAGCTGTCAACTGGCCCCCGGCCTCCGCGCCTTTATCTTCCTGTCGTGGCTTCTCTCACAGCCACGTGCGCTGCATTTCTGCTCGAGAGGCACCAGGTGAAACCAGCGGGCTAACACGATGGGCACCTTCAACCTGTCCGGCTTCACCTTTTCATCAGGAATAACCTTTCCCTTCTTGACGTGAATGCAGACGTCGGGGCGGGTGGCTGCCTCCGAGGGGTGTCGCTCCTGCGCCCGAGGGGACGGGGTCGGGGCTGGAGGCTGAGAAGAGGCTGCGTCAGAGCACAGCCTGGCTCCCGCCACCTCCCGGCCGCCCCAGGGTAGGCGAGTCCGTCAGGACTTTGCGCCACTGGCCTCCGTGGCCATCACCTGCAGCCTGGACTGTGTTGCTGCAGGGGACGCGTGGGCGTGGCGCGGGCACCCACCCAGGGTGGTGGGCGCCGGCCCAGGGAGGTGAGCACACGTGGTCACTCCAGGCGGGACTGTGACAGCGAGGACCGCGCTGGGCGGGACCACCAGACGGCGCGAGGCGAGCGCGTGAGAGAGGCCGAGAGAGCAGAGTCCCGGGGCTGGGGGTCGTGCCTGCCGGCCCCTGCCCGCTCCTGCCTGCCCACTGCCCCCCGCGCCTGAGCTCCTGGGGGAGCACTGAGGGCCTGTGAAATCCGCCGAGGGCTAGGGGCCTCCCCTGTCCGCCCGCCCGCATCGCAGGGAGCCTGCTGGCCCCGCACCACGCTTGAGTTTTTTCTTTCCTTTTAAAAAAATTATTAAAAAGAAATAAACTTGCTGAGGTTACGCTGGCTTGTGGAGTCACGTGGGTCCAGGTGGTCGGCATGCCTTCCCTCGGTGCCCCGGGGGCCCCAGGGCAGGTTGCCGTCACCACCGTGCAGATGCCCCCCCACCCCCGCCCGCCTCGCCCTCCAGCGCCTCCCTCTGTGCCCAGGAGCTGGTTTTGTTGTTTTGCGGGTGTTTCTTTGCTCCTCCGTGTGAGCCAGAACACGGCGTGTCCTTCTCTGTTGGACAGAACCCCCTCCAGCGCCATCCTTGCTGCTGCAAACGGCGAGAGCTTCCCCAAACTTCTCAATTCAGCAGGTATTTCTTTGGGGGACAATGTCTGCTGCAGGCGCGGAGCACGCCCGACCGGTCTGTCCCGGCAGGGCCCGGCTGCGCAGCCGGGAGACTGTTGACCGCGGCGCCCCGTCCTGCGGTGTTTGTAATAGCACGTGCGCCAGTGTGAGGAGCGTGCAGCAGCAGTGTGTCTGCAAAATGGACCCCTTCATTGAAAAATACCGTCGCTAAAAAACGCGAACCGGCCTGCGTCCTCAGAGAGTTGTGACCTTTTTGCTGGTGGAGGGTCTTGTGGAAACACAGTATCTGCCTGCAAGACGCCACGAAGAAGCCAGGTACGGAGATTCCCTGGAAAACTGAAAAGGAAATCCCTACGATCCACCAGGAGCCCGCGAGGCATGGACCCAACGAAGATGAAATTCTAATACGTGAGATGTGCGCGCCCTGAGCGCACGGCACCCTCCGCGGAGCCGAGTCTTGCAACCAGCCGAAATGCCCACCGGCGGCCGCCTGGGGGAGGAAATGACCGCAGGTGCCCCCGGAGAACCGCCTCGCTCTCGGGAGCAGCCTTCGGGAGGCGCGGCGGGGCTTGCAGAGGCGCGGGGTGGGATGGGTCCGCCCGGACGGCCGGTGGCTGGATGGCCCCGCTGGTGGGATGGAAAGAACCGAAGGAAAGAAACAGGCCCAGCTCAGCGAAGCTGCGCTTAGCCGCTGGGAAGACCCTGGCGGGGCCGGGGGTGCGGGGAGACTCAGCCCAGGAGCTTTGGTGGGGGTGAGCGAAGCGTGTGCGCGTGTGGGAGGTGAAGTTGTACCCCCAAAGCATGTAGTTACATAAATGACTGACACGTTAAAATTTGAGAAAGAAAACAGGAAAAACGAAACCCGAGGGATGTCTGTGTTTTCCTAATTCTCGTAAGAGGCAGCGCTGGATTTTACTTTGGATGGCGGCCCCGGAGGAGCGCGCTTGAACACCAGCTCGAGCTCCCACGGGCGCTGCAGTCTCCGAGGCCGCAGGGCCTGAGAAGGAAGAGCCCTTCTGGGCCGGGCTGGCCTCTGGGCCGGGCTGGCCGGTGGGAGGCCGGGGAAGGCGAGGGGCCGGCAGGTGGGGCTGGAGGCCCTC